ATGCACTCTACATGGGGCTACCCTTGTGCTTGATCTGGAAACTGCAATTGGTACAAAATGCGGCGGCCAGACTTGTATCAGGAACATCCCGGAGGGACCACATTACTCTGGTTCTGCGGTCCCTCCACTGGCTGCCTATTGGTTTCTGGACCCAGTACAAGGTGTTGGTTATTACCTTTAAAGCTCTAAATGGCTTGGGTCCAAACTATCTCAGGGACCGCCTTCTCCCGTACAATCCTCCTCGCGCTCTTCGATCCTCCGGGAGGAATTTGCTGCAACCTCAGAAGTCGAGGCTTGCGGCTACCTCCCGGAGGGCCTTCTCCGTTGTCGCCCCTAAACTCTGGAACGACCTGCCGGACGAGATCAGTCTTTTAACATCTCTGGACAGCTTAAAAAAAGCCGTCAAGACGGATCTCTTCTGGCAGGCCTTTCCGGACCAGTGACCCCCACCTCGGACATAGCCCCACCAAGCCGATCCTCTCGTAGCCCCATCAATCTGATGGTGAGGATTGTGGTGATCAGGCTTCTTATGATTACTGTATTGGGTTTTTATTTGAACAGTTTTAAATTATTGGTTTTAAACATTATTGATTTAATACTTTTTAAGAGGGGAGGGGGGTATTTTCTATTTATCTTATTGATGTACTTTTGTATTGATGTATTTGTATTTTAATTTGTAAGCTGCCCGGATTGGGCTTCCATTGGGCGGGGTAAAAATAAATTTTATTATTATTATTATTATTATTATAGAACAAGTTCACCACATCTCAACAAACTTTTCCTTCAGAATTAACAATATGCACATGTGAAGTGAAACAACCAGGTCAGGTAAGCATTGCAAAAGAAAGAAAGAAAGAAAGAAAGAAAGAAAGAAAGAAAGAAAGGGGGGAAGCAGACGGCAGCACGGAGCTGCCCTGGGAAGCTGCAGATCGGGGCCGAGGCATCCCCATTCCTCGGCCCCGTGGTGCAGCTTTGCTGCCCCTAGAAGGAGTGCTAAAATACCACTCCTTCCACAAATCACCGAAGGTGCGCCACAAAAGGCTGCCGCTGCACCTTCGGCGGCTTTTCCACTGCAGCATATGCGGACACTGCAGTGGAAAGACATCCTCGGAGCCCCAGCCATGCAGAGGGCTGGCTAATCTGAGGACATTTTGGGGAAGGGGTTGGAGTGCCCAGCATGTGGTTGCCCTTCCCCTTCCTTGCTCTGAAGACGGCACTTTGTGCCTTCTGCTTAGCCCCAAAGAAAGAAAGATTTTAATTAGGTGCCCAAACAACCAGCAATGGTATCAATTAAGCCTCCAAGGGGAGGGCATTTCATAAAGGGGGCACCACAGTAGCGAAGGAGTCAGTGTGGTGCAGAGGTTTGAGCACTGGACTACAACTACAGAGACCAGGGTTCAAATCCCAGCTCAGCCATGGAAACCCACTGGGTGACATTGGGCAAGTCACACTCTCTTAGCCTTAGAAGATGGCAGTGGCAAACCCCCTCTGAAGAAACTTGCCAAGACAACACCATGATAGGGTCCCCTTATGTGGTGGTTCTGAAAAAAAAGGCTGTTAAAAGGAATAAGAATGAGGCAGAGTAAAAAGAAAAAGATTTATTCTAAAGCAAAGAACATAAAGCCAACAGTGCTTAGTACCAACTTCAGTTGATACACCAACTGCGTTCCTACCTGGAATGAAAGGACCTTGAAACAATAGTACTTGCCCTGGTAATCTCTTGTTTGGGTTTCTGTAATGTGCTCTACATGGGGCTACCTCTGTACCAAGTTTGGAAGCTTCAATTGGTTCAAAACATGGCAGCCAGATTGGTCACCAGAACATCTAGATCAGACCATATAACACCTATATTAAAATCTCTTCATTGGCTGCCGATTAGCTTCTGGGCACAGTACAAAGTGTTGGTTATTACCTTTAAAGCCCTACATGGCTTGGGCCTGAGTTACTTGAAGGAATGCCTCTCCCCACACAATTTGCCCCGCACTCTCAGAACATCTGGGAAGAAATTATTAGAACATCATAGAACCAAACTCAGCACGACTTCCCAAAGATTGTACATGGCCACAGCTCCCATGTTATGGAATGGCCTACCAGAAGAGATTTGTCTTATTACTATGTTAGATGCCTTTAAGAAGACACTTAAGATGGAGCTTTTCCAGCCTATCCATCTGATCTTCTAGATTTCTAGATTCTGACGATGATTGGCTATTTTATTTTATATTATTTTATTCTATTTATTTTATTTTATTTTATGCTCTTATAAGTTATTACTGTTGTTTGATTTTACTATTTTATTGTTTGTAGTTTGCATATTGTATTCATTTAATTGTGTAATCCTACCTCGATCCGTAGGGAGAGGCGGGAAATATAAATAAAAATTATTATTATTATTATTATTATTATTATTATTATTATTATTATTATTATTATTACTATTACTATTATTATTAGACAGCTGGTCCTCCAGGTACAAAACTTAAAGTATCAGTTTCAAGGCACAATCATGTCAACCAAATCTTAACGTACTGCAAACCTGGCATCCCTGACTAGTAGTGAGGCAGGCCCATAAGCTGAGTCCTTGCTGTTCTTCAGGCCTTCTCCCTCTTAACTGTCTTAACAGTCTCTCTCCAGCAACCATCCAGAAGATTCTTTTCTAACAGCCATCTTATTGGTTGGTTGCTCTCACACCACTAGTGATTTCATCCTCCTCATAGATTCCAGTACCCCCTCCCACAGGGAAAAAGGCCCTGATAAATGGAGGGACTCCCATTTATCACACTTCAGAGTTGCCATAAGTCAGAAACTACTAGAAGGCACAATGCAACAACAAACAGAGAAGGTTTTCCTCTATGCCACTGAAAGATGTATCTACTCCTACTAGGAGGAAACAGATGAGAGCCCTCCAGCACATCTCAGACCTCAGGTAGGTATATTCAGGTAAATCCACTTCAAGGCCAAGGTTCTGAGCCATTTGGGGCTTTCGATATCATCAGTAAACCTTGAATCAGTCTGACAGTGAATTGTCAGTATCAAAATCTTCTCATACTTTAAATATCCTCTGGTCACTGACTGAAGATAAGGCCATAAGAAGCGTGAAGGCTGGAAGAAGAACCCTTGAAGAAAGGGTTTGTTTTTAACTATGTGTTTGAATCATTGTTTTAATGCTAAAATTGTTTAATTCTTTTTTAAGGGGTGGGGGGGGTTGTGGGATTTGGATGGTATTTTAATATTGTATGATGTTTTTAAATCGTTGTGAGCTGCCTCGATTGCATGACAGAGGGGCGGGATATTAATAATAATAATAATAATAATAATAATAATAATAATAATAATAATAATAATAATAATAATAATAATTTTATTTTATTATTATTATTATTATTATTGAAAACCATATCCATCCCTGTGGATTAAAATTTCCCCATCCATGGAAGTGTACATATGGTGTACTCTGAATAAGACCGTAACTTCTTTGGTAGCAAAAATGTTGTTCCTCCATCACAAGTGCTTGACTAGAACACACTCCAGCATGTTTCATCAACCATCTGACAACAGTTTATTTGCTTGTGTGGGCAGGGCCTTCTTGTCATTTCAAATCCCAGAGATCAGCCATGTAAAACACTAGTATTTGAAGAAAGTGTTATATAAACACACAGGGCTTAAACCCAAGAGAATTTTCTTCTAGCAGTGGAATTTTTAAAAATTAGCCCATAGTACCTTAATGCTTTATCACAAGTATAAAGTATATGTTTGCATGTTGCCACCAGGTTTTTGCATAAAATTAGGTACTCTCATCTGAATGAGGTTTGTATAAGTATTCAATGAAAATAGGGGCTGGTGAGATCTTCATTTTTTAAACAATATACCAAAATTTGCTTTTTTATATATTTGGGATGGAAAGAATTTAAGCATGAAAAAAAATGAATGTGGGAAAAATCAAAACAAGTGGAGCTTTGAATGCTTCATGATTTGGGTCCATATGTATTTGGTGATGATGAAGATCTCCATTTATAATCTCTTATTTCAAGAATTTCATTTGAGGAGATTATCACACAAAGCTTCCCTCCTGATGCTGTTGCAGCTTTTTAAACACCCAAAATAACAATGATTCTTTTCATGCTAGCATGCAATTTTGAATTGATAACAGGTTGGCTATGGATCTTATTGCACTGCTGTTATATTTACTTGTCAACTGTCTGAGATTAAGTAAGTAAGTAGTTGTGCCTTCACTGAGAGAGGGGTGCAGAGAAACCTCTTTAAATCCCATTTCTCTTGCCAAACAAAATGATTGGCTCCTCACAAATAAGGAGGTTTGCCTTCATTGAGAGTAGGGGTGGGAGTATAGAGAAACCTCTGTAAATCCCCTTCTCTGTGAATTACCTCAGAGTGACTTATCACACATACATCAATAGCAGGTTAGCTGCACAATTGACAGCTATTCACAGGATTTTCCCATTCTTTAAAATTGCAGCAGAAACACAGATTGACTACAGAATAACTACTGTCCAGCTATGAAGCTGTGAGATAGCATCCTGTTATTATAGTGAACATCACACTTCTATTCTGCTATTAAAGAGCAGTGCAATAATCTTCTGAGATGTGATGCTGGAGAAGAGTGCTTAAGATACTGTGGACAGCCAAAAAGACAAACAAATGGGCCCTAGAACAGATCGAGCCTGAAATCTCCTTGGAAGCCAAGATAAAAAAATCGAGGCTGTCATACTTTGGCCACA